TTTTCCTTTTTGTCCTAATCCACCCTCTCTGCCCTGATCACCCGGACACCAGCGTCAAACTGCCTGCGGCCTCTTCCTTCCTTCCTAATCTCACTTTCCGGAGCAGTAGCACTTTTGCCTGCTCTCAGAGACGTGGAGAGGGGGAAAAGGAAAGAGATAGAGAGAGTACTGTCTAGTGGGTAATCTCAGGATGCCTGGGTTTCCTTGCTGCATCTACCAGGTGACACAGGCCTGAGTCACCAGCTCTAGTTTATGCATCAGTTTCCCAAGTTGTGAAACAGAGAGTGAACCATCACTCTGAGATCTTCAAAGGAAAGGTGCTGTGGTTGGAAAGGAAGCAGGGCAGAGCTGGGGAGCTGGGCTCACCCACAAGGCAGCTGGCAGGGGGGAATGGACAGACAAGGGGAAATCCCACCCTGCTCTCTTTCTCTCTCCCCCCATCCCACTTTCTGTCTGAGCCATGAGCAGAACAATTCCCCCAGTGCCCACACTGCCAATATTTGCCCAGACAACTGCATCACCAGGTCTAGGAAACAGAGCCTGGGGACAGACCTAGGACAACCCCTTCCCTCCTCCCCCACCCCCCAAGCACTCTGCCTTGTCCACCACTACCTCCCAAATCAGCTCTGTCACCATCTGACCCACAACTCTTATGAGAGGCTCAGGCTGTTCCTTCCTGATCATGTCCGGTGCCCACTGCCCTGCTAGGGCCTTCTATTATAGAGGCCTGCCCATTAGGACTGGGGTTGGGAGCCCAGCAAGAACAACTCCCGCCCTCTCTCAAGCAGGGCTGGGTTCAAGGCGGCAACCTCCAAAGACACTGAACATGCTTCAGATTAGATCCCTGCTCTTCGAGCTGCCACTAATCCTCCCTTGAGCTGTGCTGGGCCATCAGCCTTTGCTGCACTGCTCCGCTTGCATTTGATTGCTGCTGTTCCTGTCTCAGAAGCAGCACAATCATCCCTGTCCTCAGCCAGGGGGTTGTTGGGCAGAAGCATCACTACAGCTCACTCAAGTCAGGCTGCCTGCATTAGGAAGGAGTTTTCACCAGCTTTGGGCCCACTCCAGCCCCCAAGGGAGATGGGGTCTGATCTAATGCTGTGGGGTGTACCAGGGTGACTGCAGTGGGGTCAAGGAGGAATTTCCTTAGAACCCCATACCTCTTAGATGCACCATATTGCAAATCAGCTGGGTCTAGGATGGGGCAAGGATGGGGGCAGGGGCTCCCCTTCTGAATCAGACATGAGCCACAGCCAGGGGCAAGACAGCAAGCTCATCAGACCTACGATCTAATCCTGCGTAGCAAATCCTGGCTCCCTTGAGCAGAAGCCGGGCAAGGATAGCGAGCAGCACTCCTACTCAAAAGCAGCTAGAGACTCCAACTGCTCCAAGTGAATAAATTACCTTGCCCTGTCCCCCCACCCCCCCTTCCCTCCTTGTCATATCACCAGCCCCTGGGGACCAGATTGCCTTGCATGGATGTTAATGTAAGAGGAACAAAGGAATCACAGTACCCGAGGCAGCTCTCCTCTCCATACCCCAGCTTAATGGGAGTGGATTCATGCTGGCTGCGCTGAAGAGCTAACATCGCACCATAGCCAGGCACAGCATATCTTTCAGCAGAGCAGCAGAAAGGCCGGGAAGTACGGGTGAGGACAGGTGGAATCAGCGAGGGTGGAACAGAGGAAGCTCTCTCCCTTACCATTCCCAGGCCACATTTGGGGGACTTGGGAGTGATAATCTCACCTCAAGCCCTAAAACACCTCTCTGCCCAGTTCACTGCTGAGATCTGTTAATCCAAAGGGAGAAAGAAGGGTAGCTGGAGGCAGGGGGCACAAAGCCTACAGACAGGCTCCTGGGTTTTGGCCACCAAAATGTGGTGTGTGGTATAAGCCTGAGCAGAGCCCTTTGCTTCCCTGCACATGGGCGCTAATGGATCACCCCCATAATTTGGAGGTGTGTGATAAGCAAGTGCTAATGTATACTGGTGCCTCCAGGCTGATAAAGCCACAGAAGTCACTGGTGAGAGGCCAGTGGGTGGAGGAGGGAATCCTCAACTGAGCATTTAGTATTTAAGTATTTGTACAGCACCAGGTGCACACACACTGGGAGCAGCATAGACCCAGGCTCTACCCTATGGAGCACAGCAGCAAGACCAGGACAAATGGTGGAACAAAATGTAGCTGGAAAGAGGGGTGAAGAGGGTGTGAGCAGGCAGGGTTGCAGCAGTGGGCATTACTGTGATGCTTGGTGGAAGGTGGAGCAGAGACCAGCAGCAGACGTTTTGTGAGAAGTAGGGTGTGCATCTCAGTGGGTGCATGGTTAAGTGGGGTGGGAGCTCAGTACACATGCGTTCTCTCTTCAGCTCTACCAGTGACCCTGGGCAAGTCCCTGGCCCGCTCTGTGCCTCAGCTTCCTCTCCCATCCTGTACCTGTCAGGTGTGTACGGTCTCAAAGGCAACACCTGTCTCCCCTCTGTGCTGGACCGCAATGGTCTGCTGTAGGCAAGAGGCCAGCCCATTGCCAGGGGCAGAGACAGAGTGGAAACAGGAAAAAGCAGCAGAGAAAGAGGTAAAAGCAGGCCGAGTGCGAGAGGAACGGGACTCGGGACAGGAAGAGGGGCAAGAGAAGGGCGGGCTAAAGGGGCTGATCTTAAGAAACCAGAAGTGAAGAATGGGGTTGTTATGAGAGTCACGAGGGGACAGGATGGGATGGACAGGGACAGACAAATGAAGGGGAAGAGCTTTTTGTCTACAGCATAGGGAAGAGCACCAGGAACAGAAAGGCTGGAAAGGAGGACAGTAGGGGGACAGCATGGCCTGGTAGAAAGCGTGCTAGCCTGAGACTTGAGAAACTTGGGTACTCTGTCCTCTCCCTCCTTTGGGGGACCACAGGGACATCACCTACCCTATGCCTCAGCCGCCACCTTGTATAATGGAAATAACGTGTATGAAGTGATTGCTAAGTGCTCAAAAACTAAGGGAACAAGGCGAGACAGACTTTGACAGACACCATCTATAGTGGTGATCACAAACAGGACTTGAACTCATGGCACAGCCTCTTTGTAACACCAGTCCACTTCATCATGAGGAACACAGTAACAGTTCCCCTGTGACCTGCCTGGGCTGCCAGCAGCAAAAGCTCCCACCTGTGTGACAAACCAGGTCCTGAGGTCAGCTCTGAGACAGGATGCTCTGCTCAGGGGGTGGCTGCAAATGTTCCCCAGCAGTGGCTGCGTGCCTACCGGATGAAAAGAGGCAATGACGCTGTTGACTGCATACGGGGTCAGGGACTTTGGCACTGTTACCCACCTGGCATGGTATGTCTCTCCCCCACCCGTCCCAGGACTCCAGTGCCCCTTAAAGGTGCTGTGCCCCACTGGGATGCACAACTAGCACTAGCAGATCCATGGGCAAAGGAGGCAGGTGGAGCTCAGGGAAAATTTGCCACTCCACAGGCTCTGGGTCCAGCTGCCTGTCACAGGGAGGATGGGCCAGAAACCCAGGAGGCCAGTTTCTGTGGAAACATTTTGTTCCTCTGGTTTCCTGTTTGCTGGTTTTTCACCAGGATTTGCCTTTGCAGGGCTGTCTGAGGAGAGCCAGGGGGAAGAGGAGGAGGACAGTGGGACAGGCGCTTGTTAAGACCTTGGTGGGATTGGTCCTGGCTGAATGGAAAAGATCCTGTGTCCCATCCCATTGCTGGCCAAGGGTCCCAAACAAGATGAGGCAGCCCCAGTGCCTGGCCTGGCACAAAGGGGGGCATCACTGTGGAGACGAGAGGAGAGGGGTGTTAAGAGAAACCCATGGCCCAGCCTGTCCCCTCCAAGTGTAGGGCAGAGAGGAGCTACAGGTATGAAGAAATAGGGACAGCCCCTCCCAGCATGGGACAGGTTTGGGACTATGGGAGGTGTGGACAGGAATAGAGCTGAGCTTCAAGCTGTTAAAAGGGGGCAGGAGGACTTGTCAGGAAATGCCTCCCAGCTTACTTGACAGGGTCTGGGGAAGACAAGGGGATGAAGGGGGGCAGCATTTGGCAGTGAGCTTCCCATAATGGTTATGAACTGGCAGCTAGCTCTTTAGCCCTCTAAACAATCACTATAGACAATAAGAAGGCCAAGGCAGACTTGCAAAGGGAGGCCTTAGCCAGGTACCCAGCTTTGCACCCAAGAGGTACTGAGTGCTCTTTCCCTCCCATCAACCCACTGCACTTTCCAAGCCAGGCGCCCTGGCCCGGGTGAGGCCCCACTCGAGGAGGTCAGGTGGAGCATTCCTGCCATTCTAGAGGCTGAGGACAGGCATGTGCGGCAGCTCTGGGGAAATGCCAGTCATTGCTCACATTGCATCTTGCACACAGGGGCCAGGGAACTCTGCTCCCCCCCTCCCCCTTCACTTTCTGCCCATAATCACAGGGGAAAACAGAAAAAACCTCTCCCCTGTCCCAGGTTGGGCAATGCTTGGGGGTGAGGAAAGCTCTCCCCCTGCCAACGTCAGCCACACTGTTATGAACAGCTCTGGGAAAATCCACGCAAACGGGATACAGCCAAGACCATCTCACCAAGGGGCAGAGGTGCCTGCTGGAATGAGTCACTGCAACATTGCAAGAAGCAGTCTACGTAAAGGACCAGCCCAAGCAGCAGCTAACGGTGCCAGGTTCTGGGCAGAGAGATGACAACAAGCGAACGGATGTTCCCCTTGCGATCTCTCTCTGGGTATTTAGCTGGGAGCAAGGATATCTTTCTCTTCCTCCTCCCCAGATGCCTGGGTGATGAGTGCATCGGGGGGAAATGAAGGTATTTCATGGGTCACAAAGGGTAAGGGGGAGAACATGGCATGGGAGTCAG